CAATGATGCTGAACATCATATACCCAATGCCCCAATTTTTTCAAACTGTTAAAAGTGAACTTGGTATGGAGGAAATATGGAACAGTCTCCATATTTACTATTTTTAAAATCTTACAGGTAGGGGGTACAAGGGGGATTTCGTTTCTTAAAATTGTGGCGATAAAATCTAGAAGTGCGGTGTGCGTGTTTTATGTACAAACAATTTTCACACTAACTCCAAGTAGTTATATATGTTATCAGATTTTTCGACCAGGAATTACTGACCTTTGACCTTCTATTATTAGATTCTAGCTGTCTAGCAGTGTAATTATGTCTTCATGCTGAGTTTATTCTTATAATTCATGCTAAGGCTAACAGTCTACCATACACTTGTGTTTCTACATGTTTGCTGAAATGAAACACTTAGATAACGTCATAATTTCATTTTTTTTTCTCATCTGAAGAAGCGCTTCTTTCAAGAGTTACTGTCTGATTTTTATCAGTAGGGCAGGAATGCAAAAGTTCGAATAATACTAACATTCGAAGAGTGTTTGTGATTTACACGAATGCTTTTTGATTTTTAAGGGAAAACTAGTTGCCAGGCTGTTTTTGCTTACATAATCACTTCCTTATCTCTGAATAAAAATCATACCATTGATGTTAGTTAGACATGTCTAGAATATTGTTGCAAAAGCAGCTAAGTGTTTCTGGTTGCAGTAACCTTGTTCGTTTCAGATTGGCAGAAATGAAGTCAGACTGTAAAAGCAAATAAATTTATCGGGGGCTTTGATTATTTTAACCTCAATGAATGAAAACTTCTAGCAGAAAGTTGATTAATGTTTCAGCTTTAATCAGCGATTGATGCCAGTTAGAGGAGAATCATGTGTAACAAGTAGGGAGTGCTAGACAGAGCAAGCTTGTTGACCATTCAGCCACAGAGATGGAATCCACTGGCCAGCTCATGAATTCTAACTTCTGCTAGTTCTCGAGTTTTAGCTCCATCACTAGCCAATGATGGCAGTGGCGAGTGTTTGTCCTCACACTCGACGTGGTCACGGCTTCCCACTAGAAAACTTAGTATTCTTGGCTCATTGAATCCCATCTCAGTCAATGAACTCGTCTCTTCACCTGAAATTCCTTGGTTCGACACCTGAATATGGATGGGGTTGTGGGTTGTCTTCTGTGTGTCGTCCTAGACTAGGACAACATAAATGGTCGTCTAGTACTCTGTGATTTTCACTGGTTCTCTTTCCTGGGTTACCAAAAAAGGACTATACCATCGTGAGAAGGATGTTGAAGGTAGCTAGTAGGACTAGTCGTGTAAAACTCAGTCAGCTCGTCACTACATTAGTAGAAAGGCATCCAATACATGTAAAAAACCCCAACACCCCCTCTATTCCCAACTCTCTCCTTGTATCTCATCAGGTAGAACCAGAAATCAGTACAAGATAATATATGCTCGTCCAACCAAGTACAGGAACTCAACGATACCATATCTGGCCCGTGTTATTAGTGACAGAGACAATGTCAAGCGCGAAATCTATGACTTGCTTTGTTGTTAATAACATAATTTTAGGCTCTTCTATTTCTCTCTTATTTGTATTTCTATAGTGAACACCTTCCTAAATACACTTAGCTACCTAAATTATTAACATTGACTTACCTTTTTGTACTTTACTCTATTCCTTCTTTTGTGTATCTACTGGTTCCGACTATATTAGTACTATGAGTATTACAAAATTATCCTGTCATTAACCATCATGTAATTATTAGTTTTGTGGTTGCTTTTTCTTATTTTCTATACTTTTCGGCAATATTAAACTGACAATCATTGGTTGTGAACGCCATAGTCACCGCCTTGAAAATTTTGTATTATGCAGGATTACTCACACTACCACTACAAACACCGCATTAGAGCTGACAATGAAAACCCTAAAATGTTATTTTATGATTGTTTAGTGTTGTTCAATCAAATTAACTGATCATCTTAGCGATAAACATTCTTAAATATCATTTCATAACTTCTTGTACGACTATAGCCTTACTGTCACCATGCATAAACATATCATAGCTTCTACTACCCAATACTGGGTTATTATTATAGGCTGTTTATTTTCCTTTCTACTTCTTGGTATTTTTTGGCATTTTTTAAAATTTATTTAGTGTTTTTCCTGTTTTTTTGCTGTCGGTGTATTTAAATTTTTTTTTTCGTTTTTTTGATACTCCTTTTAAATGTTTGGTAAAATTATATGCAAATATTGTAGATATGTGCTGAAAATTCCACACTGTACCACTAGTACTGTTTCTGAAATAAAGCAAATTATTATATAATATCAATCCGAAGCAGATCAAACTTCAAATAGATTAAATCTCTTCACTTCCCTTAGTATTCCTGGGGAACTAAACTGACACCTTATTAATCTAACCCTTCGAAGAGTTTAATTCCAAGTCTATACAAATGGAAGGTATATAACCCCTGCATTGTGCTTGTTATTTCTGTTACACCACTCATAACCCCTTCAATCTATTCATTTATTCCTCTTTGAAATAATAGAAAAGATATGCAGCTCAACTGTGGGGATATTTTCGACTTTGTTGGATCTGTCTGAGTTGGATAATTCAGTCGTGATGCTTTGGTTGTCTCCCTTCTTCAACAAAATCTTCAATGGAAAATTTAAATAGGACGTGTCTATGATATTAAAGTTTTACGCTGAAGATGTTGTCTAGACTGGCGATGAAAGCTTCGCATTTAAACCACTCAGCTCAGAGAACGCAACCACATCATAAATTATCTCCCTTTCACTATTGTTGACAATATTCCGTTCTATCTATCTTTTGATTGGTTCAAGGATTTCATCATAATCTGATATCAGTTAGAGAAACATTGGAAAACCTGGGAATGCTGAACCAGTAGGGTAAAGCAGGTTGAAGATGAGGCAGTAACTCATCGAAGAAGACATTGCGAAATGGTCATACTATGTCATGAATTGGCAGAAGTTAGAATTCATGGACTGGCTGGCCATTGGATAGGGCGGGTCCCAGTGGCTGGTTAATGGTCTACGAGCTCTCTGGCCTTCTAACCAGAAGGTCCTGGGTTCGAACTCTGGAGGTGATGTGGGTGCGCGCTGCTGAAGGGTCCCAAACTAGGCTGACGGAACAGCTGTCCAGTACTCCCAGGTTTTCCAGTGGTTCTCTAACTGATGTCAGGTCATGATGAAACCCTCCAACCAATCAAACACAATCTCTACAAAACCGACACTTGAAGATTAGTCCATCTTTTCCTGTGTTCATAAAAGATTTATCCAGTGTTGGTTATCTTCAGGCATTTAATATAACTGACAGCCTTCCAAGATGTATTCGGTAACTCTGTTTCAATAACATTATTCCATAAAATCAAGGATCAACTTCGTAGAAATTTAGGCGACTTTATCAAGTCGAGTGTCGATGAAGATTGAGCTTTATCCATAAGCTGAAGAGCATGTTCTTCAAATCGCTGGATGAATGTTAGAGCACCAGTTTCATAATCCAACTATCTTAAATTTGACCCATTGTGGTGTCGTGGATGTTCACCATATTCCCCCTAGAGACTTTTCCAGCAAAATTAAACTATAGCGATCCATGGAATGCAAACGCGCGAGTGACCAGTCAGAAATTTACAAAAGAAATACAGATAATTCAGCTTTCCTCAAGAACCCTCGAAAGAAATAGTGTGGGTTCAAGCAAGCAGGTCAACAAAATCATCACAATCATTGACCCTATGATGAAAAACATTCATATCTGATAGCCATTTGTATCCCACCCACTTGTCTGTATGAATAATAGAGCCAGAAATGATTAACTTTTGTGCAATAGGTAGAAGGTTATTGGCACTACGCTTAGTTGTTACCACCACAATTCGTTTCTGAATTTTCTGTCGTGAATTCTCATTATTCTATCACTATTATTATTCCCCTGGGGTTCCGAGTGGAACACACAGCTTCAACGACACACCTACACTTTTCTGTTGTCGCCTTCAGCTGGCCAACCCCACGACTCCCCATAATCTCTCACAACCTCATCCCTCCAACTCACATCATCTCCATATCATCCTCGCAATGACCAGCTGCTCGTCAATTCCATTCACCTCCCACTCGAGCAATGGCCTGCATTGAGCGCGATGTCAAAGTATACCCAACCAATTCATCTCCATTCTCTTCTGTATATTTATTGAGCAGTCGGCTCGTCGTTGGTTCGTCTGCTCATCGCCAGCCAGAGTTCCATCTTGCTAATTGTTTCTGGCCGGCCAGCTGGCAGCCTGGCCATTTGGTCTTCAGTATGGAGACAGTCAGCCAGCAAAGGTGGCAACTGTTGATAACGATCTGCAGGTGGCCGTTGGAAAAGCTTTTCGTGATGCGCGCGCAGTGCAAGATTCTCACCCAAATAAAAGCATTCACTAGCTGACTGACTGACTGACTTCAGGGACATTTGTGCTGAGAATCCGAATCTTCTTCTCTATGCTGCTGAGTTGTTGCAGAAGATTTCCAAACTGGTATCAGGTTGATGAAGGCGCATCTTGTCTTTCCGATTCTGGCCGGCTGGTTGGCTGATTTTCACATCTTCATCCGCTCCTACGACTGCCTGTGGTTGAAAGGATGCTGCAGCCTAGGCTGGATGAGTGAAGGCAGGAAGTGACCTCTCTCCAATTGGAATATAGGACGTCTTCAAGCTCTAAACTTTGAAGCACCTTCAGTAACAGTGACGGTTCTTTTCAACAGGGTGAGTTTGTTAGCCTCATGCCGTAATCTTCCCTCTTAACCAGGCTTACTACCGGCTGAATGGGTTGGTTGGGAAACGAACCAAGAGTGTTCTACCCCTGAACCATAAACAAACTGACTATAAAGCAATAGTGCTAAGTTTTTCTAGGCTAGATTTCTGGATCACAGATGGTATTCTTCATATTATGATCAATTTTTTTAAAGCTTATAACATACATGTTATGTAAAAATCTTCGCTAACCCTTTTGTTCTTCCTTCTCGTTACAGTTCCAATGAAACCTAGGAAATTACACCTTGTCGGCATACATAAAAGATCACGGCTAACAACATCACGTTCAGATCAGTCTGTTGCACGTGGAATCATCGATCTACCCTATCTGTGTGTTGAATTAGCCTGGGATCCACCTGAAGGATTGCATACAACTCGACAAGTTAGCTATCAAGTGTTTGCCCGACTAATTGGTCCACAAGATTTGGTGAATGAATTAACCGATACTACACTGGGTTCAAGTGAACCATATGGAGCAGGTCTAGATCGTGATAATAGTGGTCATCCATTGTTACACAGAAGACTGTTGGCTAACGTGACTGGAAATACATTCAGGTCGTCAGAAAGTGATAACATTGGTGAGTGAAATTATATGCAACTTGAAAAATTACTGTTATAAGAATAAAACTTGTGCACTGTGGTGGAGTATAATTCCATTATGGTTAATATTTATTTTGATAAAGTTTCACAATGGTGTTATATAGTAATATTTACTGATGACCGCGTTACGAGCACAATTTATTTATTATTGAGCAATAAGTTGTGTTCGAAACGTGGTCATCAGTAAATATTACTTACTGTATAACACTGTGAGACTTTATCAAAACAGATTTTACCCATAATGAAAAATTACTGTTTTTAATCAGTTTACCTCGTCGAATTTACGAAAATCACCCTGCATAGTGAGTGGTTAAGCAAAGGACAAACAAAGTCTATTCGCAGCGCTATTCTATCTCATCTTGTGGATACAGAACACAAGACTGATTGATATTAACCATGCTTTCAGGGTAATTTACAGCATACCTACAAACCTCAATTTCGCCTTAAGAGTTTGACTGCTAAATATTCCTGAGGCTGGCTGGCGACTGGATCCAGATTAACAAGCCTAATTTGTGCATCCAAAAGAAGTTGGTTGGTTCAGACATTTTCCTTACCGCTTGGCTATCCAGGTTTGAATGATCCTGAATTTTAGTTGATATTCTATTTGCTATTATATCTTTATTATAATAATAATTATTATTACTATTATTACTTGAGCATCTTTAATGAACTGTGGTGATTCCATTGTGATCTTACTTTGCAAATCGACATTATTTAAAAAGCACTCTTATACTGTTATTGACTACTAATTTAGAATATTCTATGTATATAAACTTGCAGATATAATTGTAGAGCCAGAGGAGGAGGAATTTATCGAAACGAATATCACTTTGCTCGATTATTTCGTGTTTTATAAAGAAAGTATTTAGAAAAAACGAAAAAAAATTGAGCAAAGAATATTCTTTTCGATAATTTCCTTTTCTGGCTATTCTAGAGTAATAATCGTCATTAACAATATTGGTGTGCTTTTTAAATACTATCAACGAAATCACAGTTCAAGGAAGACGTTTAAGTTATAATAATAAGCATAAAAATGTAATAGTCAATAGATTCTCAAATAAAATTAAGGGAATCTCTACAACAACAAATTTAGAGTCATTAAAATTTTGATGGCCACTGTGAGGAGAGTGTCTGAACCAACTTCTTCTTCTGGATACATAAGTTAGGCTTCCTGATGTAGATTCCAACAGCCTCAACAATATGTAGTACATGAACTCTTAAGGTAAACTTAAGATTAGTTGGTATGCAGTAAATGACTTTGAAAGTCGCCTTGTTTACATCAATTTTTTGTTCTGTATCCACGAGATGAGAGAGTATAGAACTATGAATGGACTTTGTTTCACCCTTACTTAACCACTGTGCAGGATGGTGTTCGGAAATCTGACGATAAACACGCCTATGAAACTAGCTGGCTTCACAGGAACACATAGAAGAGGCAGAATTACGCAGTTTGTCTTTAACTCTGCATTCCTTAGGCGTTGTGTTAATATCTCACTGATGTTATCATCACCGAGGAACTGAAGACATAAGAACAAGGCCTACCTTTTTCGGGACTGTTGGTTGGTACTTTGGCTTGCCTGCCTTGACTTTTGATTCCCCAAATCTATCTGAGGCGTACGGGTCGGCAGCATGAAAGAGCTTGACGACTGCTCTGTTGACGGAGGTTCCTTCTCTTCTAGCTCTGTAGGTGGGCATTGATCATCAGTAGACTTCAGACTCTTGACATCTCGTTTCGACCTAAACAAGGTTCGCAGACTCACCATACTCTGTAATAGACAATACAGTCAAGCACACGAATCCAGGTGCACACAGCGAATATGAAGACTGAGGTGATGAAGATAACATGATAACGAACCAAACACCACCAAAAGAAACAGCATTACCACCACCACAACAACAACCATCAGAAATCACCATCAACGGGAGAAAAAGGTTGAAAGAGATCACTTTCTGACTTCACTTATATAGCCCATGTTGGTGAATTGTTTCAACCACAGGTGGGGGCATGGATAAAGACATCGAAACCAGCAGGAATGCGAAAAGCAAGATACACCTTGATCAACCTGAAACCAGTTTGGAAATCTTCTGCACTCCACCTCAGTTGGCGAATGCTTCTATATGGGTCAAAAATTTGCGCTACGCGTACGTGACGAAAAGAATTACTGCAGACCTTTATCAGCATTTGTCTCCATATTGACGATCAAATGGCCAGTCAGCCGGCAAACCGACTAGAAAGAATTAGCAACAAGAAACTCTGGCAGGCGATGAACAAACCAACCAACGAAGAGTCAACTGCTCAAAAAAATATGCAGAAGGGAATGTAAATGGGTTGATTGGGCATACACTGAGGAAGACTGAGGCCGTCGAATAACGCCGCATGCGACGCAGGTCATCTATCTCTCAAGCGGCAGGTGAATGGGAAGTGGCGAGTGAGTAGTCGGTGTGAGGGTCACATGTAGGAGATGGTGCGAGTTGGAGGAGGGGAGGACGATTGCTTATTGGCAACGGTGAGGTCAGTCAGCTGCAGAGGACAAGAGAAAATGTGCCGCTGAAGCAGTATGTTCCACCCGGAAACCAATGGAATAATAATAATAATAGGTATAAAGCACACTACAGCAAACTATAACTGAGAAGCAGAATCCAGATGTCTGTTGAAATACTTTTATCAATAATAGCAGTCTTGGCACAAGGGAGACACTAAAGTTCATATGAAGAAGAAAATTAGCTAGGCTGGCTGTTGTTGTTCATCGGCCCCTGTTTTTGGAACTAGCGCCTTCCTTTTTATGATTTGGACAACTATAAACATTTTGTAATGTAATATATACATTTATATATATGTTCATTATTTTTGTTTTTACATTTTCTTGAAATCTGTAGGTTACGGATTGACCTATCTGTTTGAAGTTGTACTAATGAACACAAGTTCTACAGGTCTTACAGCTCAGCTAGAAGTGACAACACCCGATGCACGTAAGTCATTAACTAACTCAATACCTTTTACAATTTACTGGTACGTGGGTGTCAGTGAGTCAATGGTTGACGAACACCTAAGCCTCGGCTTGTTTACTACTGGAACTCTTCGTCATTACTCGCCCACTCCACTGGGGTTCGAACCCAGGACCTTCTGGTTACAAGGCCAGAGAGCGAGCTCGTAGACCATTAACCAGCCACTGGGACCCGTCCTATCCAATGGCCAGCCAGTCCATGAATTCTAACTTCTGCCAATTCGTGACCAATTCGTAATGTCTTTTTCGATGAGTTAATGCCTCACTCTCAAGCTGCTACGCCCTACTGGTCACGGCTTCCCACTAGAACCTCAGGTTAACTGCCTGAATAGGGCCAGTCACTAGTGAGCATCAAATCAAGTATTTGTATTAGTTTTGTAGGGATTTCGCTATGTTCACACAGATTCTCAACTTTTATAAAGTCAAATAGCTAGTCAGTAGGTGTCTATTAACTATTATAATTACTGTTATTACCACTGTCACAAGAATTACGTATCTGGTGTTACGATAGATCATGTTCACTGTAAACATTTTAATGACTGAAAAGACTTCTTCTTGTTCGGCATGCAGAGTTCATGATTTAACGTGTGATGAATTGCCATTGCTTCTGCCCATTTTGAAGAAGTTTCACTCTTACTCTTTTAGCAAGAAACCCGTGTATTCTGTAGATAACTTTGAAGTTGTTTTGTGGGTGGGTTTGCTAAGTGTCTTGATTCGATCATGTGTTCCAGAATAGAGCTTCGGGGGGGGGGGACCTATTTTCTCCTTTATAAAACCATGACTATGGGTAAGTGTTCGATGATACGTTTGGATAGCAAACGCTGAGTACGGCCAACATACCTAGCTACACAGGTGGAGCAGGTGAATCGGTAGATGAGGCCGGCCAACAGTCTTCGCTTATAGAGAAAGTTATTCGAAGTTCAGCTGCGAAGAATATTTTCTTCAGTGAGTGGGACAGGAAGTTTCTCATTATTCCTGCCAATGAGTCTCCGTTGAATTGTAGAATCAAGTAGAGACGATTTTTGAGAGCAGAAAGTGTGGGCGGTTTATATGTGGTTTAGGTTTCATAAATTTTGTGGTGAAACGTTCTCGGTAGCCACTGTCAAGGAGGATTCTCTTCAGACTGTTTAGCTCTTCCTCGATAGTATCAGGGCTGCAAATTCTGAGGATCCTGTGGTTCAGTGAATGGATCAGGTTTCGTTTCGTTTATCGTGGCAGCCAACTGTGAAAGTTTGTAAGTTGTCCGTTCCACTTCGTGTTGTTCATGTCTTGTTAATTGGACGTCCAGAAAAGATATTTTTGTGTCAGATTCCTTGTCTAATGTGAAATGAACTGCTGGAAGGCAGCTGCTGAAGAAGTTCAGGATGTTCCCCGAATTCTCCTCATTGTTGGAGATAATCAGAGTGTCGTCGACGTATCTCTCGTAAAACCCAAAGTTGTCAATCATTTTCTTTAGATTTATGATGTTTTCTAGTCTTGACATGAAAAAATCTGTAAGCAACGGGCCAAGTAGTTAGCCCATAGCTATATCATCCTTTTGTTGATATATTTCGTTACTGAAAAAGAATCGGACGTTTAGGGTACATTTCAGCGGGAGTTCCTTTAAATATTCAGTGGGTATACCAATGTTCATCCCCTTTGAATCAATATTTTCACATATATAGCATATTATTTCAGTTAGTGAGACGTTCGTAAACAATGATACCACATTCCATTATGGGTAAAATTTGTTTTGATAAAGTCTCACAGTGTTATACAGTAATGTTTACTGATGACGTTTCAAATAACTACCCTATAAAATTCATTAGGAAGATTGGAAAAGGCCAAAAGCAAAATAAAAATACTTGTGAAACTAGTAATGATAACATAAATAAGAGAGAATATAAGACATCTGAGACCCTACGTAGTATTCTTAATAAAGCAGGAATTAGGTGGTGGCATTCAAACCTACAAACTCACTCAGGGACAAGCTCTGTAGGTTAAAGGACCCTGTCGTTGACCCAATTAGACAAAATAATATAATTTACAAAATACCCTGCAATGACTGTGAGTTAGGTCAACTACATAGGTCAAACTAGTAGATCAGGGGGTAGTCAGATTGTCGGAACATAAGAATTTAGCTAAGGTAAGAATGGTTGACCCCACGAAGATCAGTAATTTAGAAAAAAGCTCAGCAACTGCACTGCATGCATTAACACACAACCACACAATAGCATGGTGGGAGAGGGTTAAAATTCTAAAAAGTAATCTATGTAGGTGGAGGAGAGAGGTTGATTACTGAATCCTTGTTCATCGAGTCTAGGAAAGACTCATCACTCATACCGGAAATATGGAAAATACTACTACTAATCAAATCAAGCGATGGAAAATAATGGAATTATATAAACGAAGTTAGAAAGTTGTGTGAGTAGTACCTTGATATGATTATGAGCTGTAATAAATTGTGCTCGAAACGTGGTCATCAGTAAACATTACTGTATAACACTGTGAGACTTTATCAAAACAAATTTTACCCCATAATGGAATTATACTCTACCCAACCACAGTGCACAAGATTTATTCTTATATCAGTGATACGACATCTAGTGAGAACATGGTTTGATTAGAAACACTGACCTTTTCTCTACAGCCTGCCTGTAGTTGTAACGAGATGCCGCCTAGCTAAATAAATGAAACAGCAGCCTTCCTCTAGATTTTAAAATACGGATGAAGTAGGCTACTGGATAATAAGGGAGTTTCATAGACCATGTCCTCTCTCTCAATAAGAGTCAGTTGGGAGAGAAAACATTCTGAAATCCTTTCTACTAATTACCTAAAACAAAAAAACCCACTTACAATCATCATAATAAGTAATGCAAGAATATCTCTAAAATTTATTCTTCAACTGCCTAGTACTGACTAGCAACCGACTACATATGTATGCTCAACGTATAAGCGTGTGTGCATTGTTCTGAAAGAGTTAATTAAAAAGACAAGAAGTAGGAAGTCGCGTCAGTTACCAAGTACTATTCACTTGCATAACATAATTATACACTGTGAATATTCAGTCTGTAGCACAGAGTTACCATGGTGATGAAAACAGTATACCTGGAATGAATATTTCCCCCCACAATTTTTTTGTCTGCCTAAGCAATTAACTTCATCCTTATGTCTCACGTACTCCCGCCCCGTCCACCCCACCGCCCAAGAAATAATTAAATAGCTAAATTATGTTTTAAATAGGCAAGATGTCTGTGTTGGTGTTTCTTTTCGTGTATTAGTAAATTAAGGCTGGGTAGAAGTCGTGACGCCATCTGATTTGTTATAGACATTATTATTTTTTGGTCACATCTCTATTGTTTTACTAATTTAGTCTGGTTATGGTTGGTGTATTGTAATAAACTTGAATTTTTAGCACGACTTAATAATTTGCTGTGCAAGAACTGACTGGCGTGGGATAATGCTCTTGTCCACCCACGACAAGTAAAATACTAAGTCGCATCATCCTGGAGAGAGCATGCATAAACGATGCACTGGATATATAGAACTCCGCCAGCCCAACCGAAACAAGCTGGCTCGAATCAGGAAAGGCAAATCATTTGCTGATCAAATTGCAAATATGCGCATCGTCATCACAGAACAAATCATAGAATAATGGCAGTCAAATCTCACTCTACCTCAATTTTATAGACTTCGAATAGGCCTTCGACAGACAGCTTTGTCCGAGAAGTAATTTAGAAACTGCTTCAACACTATGGAGTGCAGTGCCTCGAATATCCATCAAACTCATTCACTCACAGCTGGCCACTTGACAACGGAACGTGTTAGTAAGACAAGATGTCTGGTCAGCTGCCTATTATCACCAAACGACGATATTCCTAATTGTGGTGCAACAGGTCACGCGCCTCAGACTTTGCGTTGTCAGTGAGTAAATGAGAAGACAGGAACACGCTGCACCGACCAATGAGAAGACTGTAAGATATCTATATTTCGCGTGTGGATGATTTATGCCGATAAATGTCACACAAACAGAAACACAAAATGGAAGACTTGCAGGCAGGCAGGAAGGCGAAAACTGGCAACAAACTGGCTGAACTGCCTGGTTGGCTGCGTGGCTGTCAATGAAGACACGACTAACTTCATCCAGGGGATGAACATAGAAGGTGGGGACGGAGGTGGTGAAGATAACAAGATAACCCACCAGACACCAACAGAAACAGAAAACCACCACTACCAACAACACACCTAAATCAATTAGTGGAAAAAGGCTGATAGAGGTCACTTCCTTCTTTTACTTGTTCAGCCTAGGCAACAGCATCGTTTCAATCACACTCAGTCGAATCCGATGCAGCTGTGAAAACCAACCAGTCAGAATACGAAAGGCAAGGTACGCACGCCCTCATCAACCTGAAATCAGTTTGGAAGTCGTCTGCCCTTCACCTTCGTATGAAGAACAATTTAAAGATATCCAACACAAATGTTAGTGAATCATAGTCAGTCAGTCAGTCAATTAGCGAGTGTTTCTATCTGGCTCAGAAAATTGCACTGTGCATGCCTTACGAAAAGCATTTTCATAAGCCACTTGCAGATTGTTATCAACAGCTGCCAACTTGGATGACTGGCTCCATACTGAAGATCAAATGGCCAGGCGGCCAGCTGGCCGGCCAGAAAGAATTAGCAAGATGGAACTCTGGCTGGCGATGAGCGAACGAACCAGCGAAGAGTCGATCACCCAACAAATATGTAGGAGAAAATGGAGATGGACTGATCGGACATACGTTGATGAAGGCTGAGGCTGTCGACCGACATCGCACACAATGCAGGCCATCAGTCGAGTAGGAGGTGACATGAAGGAGATGGTGTGGATTGAGGGGAGTGTGAGCAGTATACTTACTAACGTCTCTGGATTAGTTTTCTGTGCTTCTGGGTGAAAATTACGACTGGACTTGCTGCTCTCCTGACTGGTTTTTAGTAATTTTCTTTATGGGTTTCAAGACTTCTACTTTCGTTGGATTACTGCTATTCCTCACCGGAGTTTTATGTCTGTTGTTGTTGGTTATGGTGGTCGACTAAAGAGTTCTTTGAAATGGACAACCCAGAATTTCCTTTGTTCCTCTCTTTCCTAAATAATTAGGTCCCCCTAACTACTTTTCATCATTTCTAGTCTGCGTTGATCTTTTGGACTGCTAGGCAGAATATTCAGGCCCACTTCGTAAACCTGAAGGTCTTAAGTTCGATCCTATGGGGTGTTGGAGTGATGAGGGACGTACTGCTGTAGAGTACCAAACTAAGACGACTAAAACAGCTATCCAGTACAACCCCACCGGTTTCCAATGGTTCCTAAATTGACATCAATCCGCGATCAATCTTGAAGTCAGTCAAATCCCTACAAACTAACACTTGAATATAAATTCTATGTAGTCTCTGCCTGTCTGTTTATAGAGTAATGTGTGGTAAACGTCTGTCCCAAACTTTCTTGCTGACATCACTTGCTAGACCAGTGCTGTGTATACAACTAAATAGAAAGACCTGATAATCTGATTTCATGTATTCCCAGTTTTATTGTATTCTTTTTCGTAATCTGATCAGCCTTCCCAGCCAGCTACCCAGCCACCTTCAAAATATCGTGTAGGGACGAGGGATGTCGCCATGCTTACTTTTGCTTACATTGGAAAAAGACACATCGTCTGAGTGGCTTCCCGAAGTCTTTCATCAGCCTCTCTCTCCGTTCCCGGTGAAGAATAAGCCTATTCTTAGGCTGATTTTCTGAGGTAGGGACACTAGTCCAACGCCCAACCCTCTCCTTTTCTTCTTTCTTAGGACCGGACGGTAAATAAACTACGAAAGGTTGGTTTTACTGCCTAGTCATAGAATTTTAATTGCTTAGGAATACAATTCACTCATTTTTAATGTTAGGTACCTCCAATTTGGGTACGAAAGGAGATCAGAAGTTAGCGCAGTACTAATCTCTGATTCAGTTACTAATAGATTTTTTCTTTGAGCTGTGCCTAACACCAATTTTTTGTTTTATTCTTCTTTTTCAGCTCCATCAAGTAGTCCGTTACACGTTCGTCTGAGTGGTTTATCATCAAGTTCAGTTGAAGTCAGCTGGGCACCACCGCCTGTACAATATCGTAATGGAAAGCTGACAGGATATGAGGTTCGATTTTTCGAGGTGGGTGCTGAGACACAGACTGAGACGACTATCAAAGTCACAGTACCCGGTCAACGACAATATACAGCAAGAGGATTGAAAGAGAAGACATTCTACACATTTATGGTCCGCGCTTTCACATCTGCTGGTCCCGGTCCTTGGTCTGGTGCCAGTAATATACGTACAAGTGTAGAACGTAAGAATATTTGCTTTATATATGCGAACGTTTTGTTATTTTGTTCAAAATTTTGAGCGGTTAATGGGATCAAGAACTCAGCACATGCCTATTTAATTCATTTTAGATTTTCCCGTCGATTGATTGGACCGAAGTGCTCCGTCTCAGGTTGACATGTCGGCTGCGTGGGCAGATGCTTCGACGATGTCTGATCAGTGTAACTGAAACCGAGCACTTCAGTCCAGTCAGTCGAGGGGAAAATCTAAAATTGAATTAAATAAATAATAAGACCCGTTGCACAAGAAAAAGGGAGCTCTCGCAGCCCAAGTGGTCTAGTGGATAACGCTTTGTCTGGCATTTGAAACTGTGGGCACTGAGTTCGAAACTCAGTAGGAACACCATCACTTACTCAGTTGGCGGGGGGGAATGCAGACACATCCAGATGACGAGTCCTAAGTAGGAAGAAATGCGCATTCTGGTGGGTTCCACCATCTTGGATAGACTGTAGGATGCCCTAGATGTGGGACTTCTCAGAAGAAATAAATCATGGGTAGGTCAAATACAGCGCTCCGCATCATCATCGGACAGAATATGGAGTGACAGTCAATCCTGTACCTCATCTTCGTCAACTCCGGGGACGCCTTTGACCAGGTAGTATTCTAGAAGCTACTTCAACACTACAGAGTGCCCAAACCTTGTCAACCTCATTCAAAGGCTACATGATGGTAAGACTTTCCGTGGAAAAATTTCATCTCTTTCACTTATATGGGTGTCATCATTTCAATTACGCTTGGTGACGTTCAAGGTAGGTCTAGGAAAGCAGTACAGACTTTCGGTACTTGAAATCAGTTTGAAAACTTAAATCACACAAGGAACAAGACCCAAGCTTTCAGAGCTAATGTCAAGTAGCTTCTTCTACTTGGTCCACAGACTCTGAACGAAGGTCTCAAAACGCATTTCCATCAGGCTGTGGACTGTAACTAACATTTGTTCCCGCTTGATACAGGAGACCAGATGGCGACCAGGAGGGATAGGCAGGTAACAAGGAACTCTAACAATGAACCGTGCAACAATCTATCACCCGGGAAAAATGCAGGTGGAAACGGAGACGGAGTGGACATGGTCTAAAGAGACATCCAACTGGAAACCCGCCTATTGTTGGCCCTTGGCTGGAACCCGAATGGGAAACGATGGGTTAAGGGGCTGATAAGGAAATCCTCTGAAGACAAAAGATGTGCCGCAGAGGCAATATGTTTAACTCGGTACTCAAGGAATGAATAATGCCAGTGGAACCAATTGACTCAACATGCTTATCTTCAGTTCCACTGTTTTCATGACATCAGTATATGTATTTTTTTTATAATAACGAATGTCAGAAAGAAGTATTTGAGTAACTGAAAGTAACTTGACTTGCAGTTGAATCCGTCTTTTAGAAAAGTCATCCATAACTTACAGGAAGATCGTAAACACTAAAAAGTTGCAGAATATGAAATGAGGTGTTTTGTAAGTGAAAAATGTAGACGACTTACTCCACTTACATTAGTATAATAATAATAATAATTTGTTTTATTCCAAAACAGTACTTGTTATGCAGAATGGAATTCTCAGCATTTTTACTACAGTATTGCATCCAGTTAGTACATTATCAATAAATAAAATTCTACATAGATTAAGGAAATCTCAGTTCATTATGACAACAACATATTGGCATGTCGGTAGCAAAGCCAAAATTGAACAGTGTTTGAAGGTGTTAGAAAAGAAGGTGCTATCATATTTACTGGCGTAAGCGGGAGAAAGAAACAAAGCAGCACATAACGGAAAAAAAGAGAGAGAAAAAAGGAAAAGAAAGAAAGAAAATGTTGTACCTATAAGTGATGTGAGTTGGAAAGACGAGATCCAGTTGTTCTACTGACTATTTAATAAATTATAGGTGTCACGCCTAATGCTTTCTTTATCGCACAGAACACGAGCTAAGTAGGGTATGGTTGAGTTTTTGTACTTGCTAGTGCGAGCATATACTTTTCTATATAGGCTACTGGTTTTGCCTGATGAGATGCAAGGGGAGAGTTGTGAGTGAAGAGGGTGGTGTGAGTTAGATAAAATGGATTTAGCCCATTTTTCACATGAGTTCAAGTGCCTGTCGACCAGAATATTAACAAGCTGGTTAAGTGGCACGTTGCTTACCCTGCTGACAACCTTTAACATCCTGCGTAATAAGTAGTAGCCCGGGAAAAACTAAGGGGGAACAATAGAGAATAATAGGCAGAATACGATGTCTATTAGTTACGCTTACCTGAGTGAAATGCAGATATTTCAGTCTACTGTGGCAATCAGGCCTTAAATATACTCATTTTAAGGAGTAGCCAAGCTATCAATTCTCGTATTAAAACAAACTTAAGCGGTCATTCAAAACAAAACTGGTCAAATATCGAAATAAGAACAGACAGTTCGGCGGAGAGTCTCTTTTTGGTGGTGGATTCATTCACTTATGCGCGTGTGTACACCTTTTTTTCCTTCACTTTCCCAGTGGAACATAGGGCTTCAATCTAGAGGCTTGAAGTTTCTATAGCAGTGTTTAATTTTTACAGGATTGGGTTGCTAGCCTCACGCCCAACCTTTCCTCTTTACCAGCATTATTTCTGGCTTAGCGAGGTAAAGGAGTGCGTCGGTGGCCGGGGATCGAACCCTGGACCATGTGTATGGTCGGCGAGCGTCCTAACCACTGTGCTACCAACGCACATCGTCTCAGCTACATGCAGTAGACTAATACGAAGTATATTGGAAAGATTCAGTGGGATAGGATGAATAATCACCTTGAATGAATTAGTTTTCTCTACTACATGACCACTGGCAAACATATGTGACAAAAAATGGACTTTTGGACTGTTTTCTTCTGGCCTCTGCCAAACCACGACGGCAGATGCCCAATAACACGTTGGCTAAGCTGTCTAGTAGTACACCCAACCTAACTGTCACCGTAGATGCAGTTGAGTTGATAAGTGCACACAGATGTGGAAAAACTATCTAGCTTATCCTTCCTTTGTGTCCCAATCATTTGTCGACTAGAGAATGACGAGCATAGGTTTACTGCGTAAAAAGTTCTCCGTATGCTCCCGGAAAGTCTCTGGAATAAAATCTCACTTAACAAGTCACCATTAATTTGTAATTTAATAAAAAGAAATTTTTTCCATGCAGTCATAGTCTCAGATTGGTCTTCTCTCCAATGTTTTCATATGTTTCTTAAGGCAACTAATCAGATAGCCAGCCCTTCTCCATCAAGCAATCATGAATATATTCCACCTGCATCCCCAAGATCTCACTTAGCAATGCAGCTTACAGTTTTCGAGAGGCTTCCTATGACTTTATATATATATATATATTCACTTATAGCACTCCATATTGATCCACTGAAGCATTTTCGTAACCAAGCTGAATAATGTTCTCTGACTCTTTCAGGCGCCATACGCATTGAACGACCCATATACCTCGATTGACAAGATCATGTGAATTGGTAGATACGCACAGAGAAGTGATCAGATACTATAGTTTATGTGTTGGTTTGTAGGGATTTGATCGGTTACAGGATTTCATCATGAGCTGACAGTGGTTAGAGAACCATTGGAAAACCTGCAGGGAGTACTGGACAGCTGTTCCGTCGGCCTAGTTTGGGACTCTTCAGCAGTGCGCACCCACCAGGGTTCAAACCCAGTACCTTCTATAGTTTATGTTTAAAGTCGCTGAAGAACATTAGTAGGCATGAGAATACCAGTCATAATGTGACAGCAGAGAACTTCTTTTTCAAGGCGTTGGATATTTTCTTCTTTAAGGGGATATCGGCCAGAAGTTCGCCTCTGAATGCCCCATTCATGTGTAGCATCTACTTCGGCATGTAGAAAACTTGGGCACTGTGGTGGTAGTACTTAATTCCATATAAGCTAGTTTATTAGATATACACCACACACAGAGTGAAACAGTATTATTAATTACTGGATGACAAAGATTAGAACACAATCTATTGTTGTTCATAATCATATCATCAATTGTAACCACACAAATTTTTCCATAGTCGTCGTCGTAAGGGTATTCAGACCACCCACAAACTCAATTAGAAACAAGCTTTGTCAATTAAAGGATCCTGCCTATGGAGGCAATTAAACAAAACAGTTTAGTTTATCTAATACCCTGCTGGAATGATTGTGTGTCAGGTGAAATAATGCATAGGTGAGAGTAGTAGAACGGAATGAGTCAGTCAGACTAGCAAAGTAGTACAAAAGCCTAGCAAAATGTAGATTAGTTGACCCTTATAAGAAATCTAGAGAACTGTTCGGCTGTACCACTGACTACATGCAACTACACACAACCACACAATGTAAGTTGATGGGATAAGATGACAGTTTTAAAACCCATTATGACAGGGTGCGGTGGAACTGACGAAGATATCAAAGCAAGAATCGGAAAAGCAAGACAAGCTTTCATTACTCTCAAGTCTGTGTGGATGTCAACAGCACTCAGCATCAAAAATAAGATCCAGATTTTCAACTCCAATGTGAAGTCAGTGCTACTATACGGATCAGAGACTTGCACCGCGCGTCATAAAGAGCACCTCAAATAAACTACAGACCTTCATTAACAGTTGTCTTCGCTCAATACTCAAGATCAGATGGCCGGCCAGAAAAGATCAGCAACAGAGATCTCTGGCAATGAGCGAACCAACCAGGAACCGACTGTGAAACAAGTATACAGGAAGAAATGGAGATGGATTGGCCATACTCTGAAGAAACAAACCATCAAGTGACATCACTAGACAAGCCATCGCTCGAGTGGAACCCGAACGAAAGGGAAGCGGCGAGTTGGTCGTTCAAGGGTGACTTGGAGGAGGTCATGTGAAGAGGAGATGAAAACGTGTGGGCAGCCAGGTGAAGACTCTAGCAGAGAACCGAACGCAATGGAGACGCACGGCTGAAGCCCTATGTTCCTGTAGGAATTAACGGAAACAATAACAATAATGATAATCACAGGGTGTGAGGTGGGAGAGATTGATAACTGACTGAAGCTTTATATATCGAATCATCTGCAGGCACGTCTAGTAGGAATGATTCAACACTCGTCCTCCTAGACATTTCGAAAATTCCACTACCGCCCCTAACCTGCGACGACGAACTGGAGAGAATAAAGAAAACGATAGAACGAAAGTTCCGAAGTTGTGTGATTGTAATTTGCTGATATGATTATTGACAATAAATGAGTTGTGTTCGAAACTGCGTCATCCAGTAATCAGTAAAACTATTTCACTCACTCACTGTGTGACGTATATCTAATAAACAAATTAATATGGAATGTTCTTTTTTTGGTTTTCGCCTTTAGGTATGTTGTTTATGTATAAACCACACTATTATATTTGAGTTATATTCACTATTCAATGAAGCAGTACACACCTGATTTTTATTCTATCATGTCTTTCAGTGAATCATTTTTATACAATTTTCTGCTTCTCTCCTTCTTCCACTCCGCAATCCTCTCCTGCCGCCGTCGTCGTTGTCGTCAGTGCCACCACCGCCTTTGGATATTCAAGCTTCACGAATTAATCAGCATCAAATAAAAGTCACCTGGCGAATACCAACACGTGAAGACCATTCAGGTACAGGTGGTAAACAAATGTCTATACAAGGCTTCCGATTGCTGTACTCAGCAAATAATAATCCATATGAAGCTGGCCAGTGGACGTCGTTTGATGTCGGCCCAGTTAACATGGCCATCATCAGTCATTTGGAGAGTAAAACAAGTTATGTGATATGCATTAAATCTCGTGGCCCAGATGGACGTTACGGGGATTGCAGTCAACCAGTGATAAGTCGATTGGCTACTGGTAATAGTGAAAGTGACTTTTCAGTGCGTGGTCTATTCTGTTCTGGTGATGATACAAGTGTTAAAGTTACCTGGCAACAACCGAAAAGAACAGAGAAATTAGAAGGATTTAAGGTAAGCGTGAAAGTCATTTGCAGTTACTTTATTTTTTCTGTTTAATTTTGTTTAACTCAATGCTTAAAACAACTAGTTCCTTTTATGAATTTAGATAAGGCAATTAGAAGACGTAATTTGTCTGAATCACGTAATGTATTCGTGCAACACATTTCGAACAATCTGATCACACACACGGACTTGTCATAGGGATATACATATGTGGAAGTAATAAAGAGTTAAGAGGTGAGAAAATAGACAAGTTAGGTCAAGTTAATAGGAGGACATATTGAAGGTCAAAATAACAATGAAGATGAATGACCAAACCAAGTAGCAGAGGTAATAGTACATCTGCTATGGTATCAAAACAAAATTTACCAAGGAAGGTATAATGTGATGAACGCTTTGAACGCATAAAGGTCCTCGTACTTTTTAACTGCCAGCTGGGGCTTCCACGAACTTTAGGCTACGCCCTAAACACGTTTTATAGATAAGTTAAAAAGACCTGTTGTCGTCAGTTTTATGTCCTGTCTCCTGTGTAATATGTTTCGCAGTAGAGGAGCTAGGTCTCTTGTTCTCACCATTAATGGGTTCTGAAGATTCCATTTGTTTCTGGAACCATTTAGGAATATGCTGTGAAGCCAGCCCTTACTTGCAGAGGTCGATGAGTCCTCCCTCTGCATGTGTGTGTGTCCACACGTACATTCAAATCGGTAAATACGGTGGGATGTGGCATCATTTTTTGCATGTTCGAAGGGCTTAGATAGATATATTGGCATCACATTCTCAATTATTATGATATTAGCTGCATAAAAAGTCTTATTAACAGCAGCGTTCAGTCTTTGTCTAGTTATCAAGCTGCTATGATGCCTCGCCCATATAGGGTAGCTTGATGTACACGTCTTTCTTAGGGGCGAGTTGGAGAGTGAGTCTTGGTCCAGGAGACCTAGCTCTTCTATTGCGAAACATATTATAGAGACAGGACATAAAATTGAAGATAACAGATCTTTTAAACCTATCTATAAACGCGTGTTTGGGAGAGGGCTTATTCTAAAGTTTGTGGAAGCCCCAGCTGGCAGTTAGAAAGTTTAAACCACCTTTATGCGTTCAAAGCAGCAACTCGTCATCACACGAAACCTTCTTTGGTAAATTTTGTTTTGATACCATAGCAGATGTACTATTTATTACCTCTCCTATTTAGTTCAGTGATCTTCATTGTTATTTTGACCTTGAATATGTCGTTTTAACTTGACCTTAGTAGTCTATTTTCTCACATCTTAACTCTTTATTATCAGTAACAAAGATTGGTAACAGTTACATAGTTAGATAAGAGAAGATCAAAATTTGGTGTGCAGGAGGTCAGATGAAAAGATGATAATGATGATGGTGCAAAATGGTGAGTAGAACTCAAAACGTGGAGAAGAATTATCTCTTATGGAAGTCAAATAGAAAAAAAGAGGTGAGGGTGCCTGGAGCGTTGAGAAGATAATTTAATGAAGTTAGAAGATCAAGATTTGTTCAAGGACGAGTCGCTAGGGTAACTGGAGTCCAACGACAGATTCCTTTAGGACACATAGGTCAGGTTTCAGACTTTTTATTGAGACAGCCTCAGGAAACTGAAGAAGATCTGAGCTAATTTGTCTGTTAATTACTGTGAATGATATCTGCGCGTCTACGCGGTGTCCAGTAACTATCGGGTGTTTGGTATTTGAAGAGTTTAAACTGCTTGGTCCCTTCAACCAGAAGTTGCTTGGTGCATGTTCAAAGAATCTGATGTAGGCCATTCTTTCTGTTCTTCCAGTGTAACTGCTCTCGCAGATACATGTGAATTGGTGTAGACAGTTGGAGGTAATATATGAGGAGTACTTGCCGATCTCTGACTACACCGACGATTAAGATTCTCATAGTATCATCGCCTTTGAAGTCAAGTTTGATGAGAACTGGCTTCTTGCTGACCGTAGGTTTCTTACGTTCACTCTTGACATATTTGTGAATAACCATTTTCTTTCAAACAATTCTCAAGCAGTATTAATTCACTGTCTAATTTGTCAGGTGAACGTATTCTTTTCGCTCTGGAGAAAACCGTTTTCACCAGCGTTCGTTCGTAACTGACTGTGTAGAAGCTGTTGAAGTTTAGATAGAGACCGCCCCATGTTTCTTTACGATATATCGATCTCTCGAGTGTCCCATCTGTTTTCCTCTCCAAGGTGATAATCCAGAAAGTAGAAATTAACAACGTCTTCGAGCTCCATCGTGAAAGTGATACTCTTATGTACATTGTTGAATAAGCCCAAAAGAGACGAAGCATGACTCATATCATGGCATACAATGAATGTATCATCTATGTATCTGTGGTAGGCTGTTGTTTCATCAATTGCACACTTGAGTTTCGCCTGTTCTAGATTGGCCATAAAAATATCAGCTAATACAGGACCAAGTGGACTCCCCATCGCCACTCCATCAACCTGACGATACATTTTGTCGTCGAACCGGAATTGTATATCCTTGGTACATAACATGAGAAGCTGCTTAAATTCTAGTTTTGCCAGAGGAAGCAAAATAAGGAATTGACAGATGATGATGTGAATAAGAATTCACATAGAAGGAAACCATCAGTTCAGCATATACGTTAAGTCGACTCACTTGTTCAACGAAATGGAATGAATCTTTCAGAGTATGTATGTCTAGTCGTTGTCTAACGAGTTCCAAATTATCGGCTAACCAACGAGCAACTTCGTGGAACGGTGAATTCATCACTAACAGTATAGGTCTCATTGGGCAATTCTTTTATACATTTTCGGTGGACCATACATATATGGCAGACGAGACACCTAAGGCTTTAATTCACTGCATGTGTGGTTGTCAATCATTTTCTTTTTTAACAGCACTCTGAGTGTTTTTGTGACTAACTTTTCTGTCAAGTCTGTTATATCCTTCTTTTGGTTATCAGTCTTGAATTCCAAGGTGTCATTTGGAATGGATTCCATTTTTTTTATATAGTCAGCTTTGTTCATCAGAAAGTTGTGCGTATAAGGGTGACATAGCGGAGGTCATGTTAGGAGCTGGTGGAGATGACAGCATATGGGAAGTCGTGGGGTCAGCTAAAGAGGAATGAAGAGAACAGAAAGGAATTATGTTCTTTTGAAGCCCACTGATCCACTCGGAACCCAAGAGAATAATAATAATGGTAAATAAATAATTTGAATAAAGCGAGAACAACAGTGAAGGTTTGTGCATCGGTGGCACAGCGGTTAGGACGCTCACCGACCACGCCTCCAGCTTGAAGTCCTATGTTCCACTGGGAACGTTAAGGAATAAAAAAACAGCGGGGTTTGTGCAGAATAATAAGATGCTAACATCATTGTTTATTTCATTCGTTGACTTCTCATCAGCTCAGATGAGCACAGCCTAAATAAAAAATTATTATTATTAAGATTATATACACAAAAGTTTCGACATACTTGCAAGTTTTACATGATGTCAGTTAACGACAGGAGACTTCAAACTTAATGAACAGTGCTCAGAAGATTACGCTTTTATTGTTTTTACACAGGGAGTTCAAGTTTAGACAAACAAAGTAAATGTATGCATAGAATGGTGGAGCAGTTACGCAATAAAGATGAGAGGTACGTGAGATAATGGATGGGTAACTAATAAACTGTGTGACAGTTCACTGAGTTCAGCTCAAATCACAGAAACAACAGACAAGCAAAATCACACCATATCAAACAGGGGGGTGAGATTAAAGCGAAGGATTATGTAATCAAATTAAAGAGAGAGAGAGACAGTGAAGAAATCCAGTTGCCGCAGAAGGGCAAGGAAACACTGATGATACTGCTTCTTTCTGAACACATAAATTTGGTTTCAGGTGTCTGATAGAGATCGCTTCAGTAAAATTCATTATTGTAAGCGTTTGTTCCCCACTGGAGACGTAGGCTTTTCCGTACAAGTTCAGAAAAACGGAGGTGTGCCCTTCTTCTTCTCTCTGTTCTCACAATGTAACTGCTCCCACAGACACATACCTGCAAATTTGTATAAACAGTTGGAATTGTTAACAGTAAGAGAGGTGGGTATCTGTCGAGTTTTGGTTGCACTAAACAGCTCAATTTCTCACTAAATGAAATCACGTAAAATTTGCAAGTATGTTGAAACTTTTCTGTAAATAAACTTAATGATAATAGTAATTTATTTTGGCTGCGTTCAGCTGAGCTGATGAGAAGTCAACGAAATAAACAATGATGTTAGCATCTTCTTATTCTGCACAGGCCTCCACTGTTGTTCTTACTTTATTCAAATACAGCAGAGGGGAGGGAATAAATGTCCGAGGTAAATAATTACATATGAGTATGCACTTGGATATTTAAAGCCAGCCTAATCTGAATATAGTAGCAGACCTATTCATTATCACTTAGCTCAGTACAGTTCACTCCAACAAAATGAGATGAATAGTCTCGTTAATCTAATCAGTTATACAGATGTCCAATGTGAATAAAGAAAATGGCCTATTATTAACAGCTGTCTGTAACTTTGTCAATGTGGCTACATCAAATTAGAGCAGTTAACAACCATATTCCACAACTTGAACCTTGCACTCACAGACACATGCACATACACACAAAGGAATTAGGGTGCTGCAAATGTGATAA